TTGGAAGAGAAAATAAGAGCACTTGAAATGAGATGTCCCTAAAAGGTTCTATAAAGTATTAGTTACTTCTTTCCTGCTGTGATACAAATCACCTTAATACAAATCAAGTTCCAGAGGGGACCAAGTTGATTGTGGCGAGGAACACATTACAGCAAGCACGTGAGGCCCTCGTGGCAGTTGGGAAGAAAAATAACTATATTTTATCCACACATAGGAAACAGAGAGAAAGAACAAAAAGTAGGGCCAGGCTATATAACTTCATAGTCCACCTCTGAGGCATACGTCTTTCAGTTAAGTTTGCCTACCTAGAGGTTCAATAATCTTCCCAAACTCCTGGTGGCCCAGTGTTAAGAAGCATGAGCCTATGTGAAAAATTTCACTTTCAAAACACAGTACAAGGAAGGACAAGATTTTAAGAGATTAGCTCTCCCTTGCAGCCTGATTCTCTTCTGGCTATGGCTCTTACTACATCCACACACATGCAGGTTGACAAATGAACCAATCTTACAAGATGGGAGAAACTGTCTTCCCTGTTCATCTTCTCACCTATCCCTTACTCAGTGTTGTTTTCTCAGGGAAACTATTCACAGCTTTTTCCATGAAAAAGTCTCTCTCTGATGCCTGCAAGCGAGAATGATCTGTGTTCCTGGCCCCAACAGAAAGAAAGTCAGTGGTTTATGGGCAGATATATCCCTCCAAGGTCAGTAGCTCTTTACATATGAGCATTAATTTATAATCAAACATTGATGAATCATGCTATTTTACTGAAAAGCACAGTCCTTAAGTCAACTACCTAATCTAAAGCAAGAAATTAAACTCTAAACCAACATAAACACATTACAAGTCATTAGTGTAATTAAAAAGGAATGTATAATTAAAACATTTGTGTATTTTAGCTCAAATTCATCTGCGGTTGGAAATTTTAATGAACTGTTCATCAAAGAAGTCTCCGGAGTCTGGGATAAGTTTAGCATAACAAGAAACTGAATGTTTTCTTTCCTCGACTTCAGGAGCTCTGTTCCCTCTGATTTCTAAAAAGCAAGCTGTCATTGGTTCCACCAAACTAATAAGGATTCTAACTGGTTATGATTGCTTCCATGCTTTAGACTGATGTTATCTTTTTATCCCTTAAGAATCGTGTTTTTCATAATTACTTCTCTTTTGTCCTTTCCTTAAGACAAATGATTTTGTAATTAGCGATGAAGGAAGGAGTCGTCACTCCAAGACATCTGTCAAGTTGTCAGAAGTATGCCTCCCTGTAGCTATATTTAAACTTCCTGTTTAATAGCCTCTTGCTTTATTTCCCCAGAACATCTCTGAGGAATCATGCCCAGGATCCCCTAATGATCAGGTTCTATAAAACAGAGCAATTAGATTGTAAGAAATATGGCTCCCCAGTACCTCCTTCTTATTCACAATGTTCACCCCTTTCTCCTAACATTCTCTTCATCCAACATCCCACCCACAAGGAGGTGTGTGCTCTGAGGGTTGATTTCTAACCCATGAGATAGCTGAGTATGTCAACAATTAGGCTGACATTTTCCCCAAACTTCAGCATTCAGTCTTAACAATGTTCTCTGCCTACAAATGAGAGGCAAGCTATTGTGAAGAATAGAAAGAGTTCCCCTGGGGAGAGCCGAGCCGCACCAGCTCTGCGCTATTCCCACATACCCTGCAGAGAGATGATGTACATGCTAACATGCTTGCTGTTCTGTGTCATCTGCCTTGAGGGGCAACCTCCTGGTGACTGCTAAAACCCCACTCCTCAGAGTGGGAATCCTGAATGACAAGAACGTACTGTGGCAAGCGGAGGCGTACAGCGAGTCCATCTCCTGATTGATTCAAGGTTACTACTGTTCTACACTTTGGATGCTGTTCTGCCTGTAACAGGAACTCTAGATTTCACCAAACTCTCACTCTGCTCTAATTACTCTTCATTCTCTTTCAGTCTGTTTCATTCATGACACCTGTTCGTTGTAAAAGAATGTCTTAGGGAGCCCAGAGTGTTCACTGATTTTTTTAGGACTTACACACAAAAGTCAGAGAGAACCAGGGATGTCAAATCTTACTTTTCTCTTACCTTGGTAAGAGGTAAGAGGGAGGAATGACCATTCTAAATGAGCGGAAATGTAGATATATTGACTGCTTCATAAAGAGATATCTTTGTATGTGCTTCTATCTCCCCCTCCTTTAAAACACCCAAACAACTGGCCTGTGTTCCTAGAGCCTGCTGGGCTTTGGGATTATTTAAACATAGGAGAAAGTAAGAATAATATTGCTTAAAGTATTTTTCCTCACAAGTGTGTTTGCATTAAGGGCTGACATTGTAAAATAGAAAGGCCCCAGGATACACACTACGCCAATCCCACCACACACACACAGACATGCACACACACAAACACATACACAGGACACACGATATACACTTTAATCCACTATTTAAGGAGTCAGAGAGTTTTGAAAGCAGCAGTAGAGTTTTCATGGGGCTAGCAGCTCACTCCTGAGTTCCTCACATCAAACCCAGTGTTACCTGTTCAGGTGCATGAGCACCATGCAGTTCTAAAGAGAAGTGAAACAAACATGGGATGAATGGTAGGGGTAGGAATGAGCCCTCCTGCTTATTTCCGTGGTTCTTTCCCATCTTCATTCCTTTCATGGGGCTTGTGCCTTGTGGTTATGTTTAGGGTGAAATAAAATCCAAAGTCTCTCTACGTTGCACTTACTTTCCTTGCTCTTCCAATGCCACTTCCCATTTGTGGTGACTGTCATACCCCTAACCTGTTTTCACTCCAACTTCATCTTTTTTTTTTTTCAGATAATTCTTCATATCTGTGTCAGAACAATCATCATTAACTTCTGATTGCCTTACTGAATCACCTTTGTTAAGAGGTTCAAAAGTCTCCTTGATGCCTTTGGCATTATTTTATGGCTTTGTTTTACCTGACTTTAAATTTTCAATCGCAGATAACCGTCTTTAATTAATAGACAGTCTGAGCTGTTAGCCTTTTGCCCCACTTGCTTTTGCCCCATCTATACCAGCCAAATTTCAATTGAACAAGTTTATTGAAGATGTTTCAGAGAGCATAAATATTAACAAGGTATACAATGTTAGCCCAAACCTTGAAGTTGCCTGGCTATCCTTGCTCTGTTTACCTGGTGATTTCTTTCAAATGTGAGAACTGACCCATATCATCGTTTTTATCTCCATGTTGATTACTAGCAGCTCAGTGAAAGACTTCAGCAACTAGTTTTACCTATTTCGCATTTGAGAGAGGAGATTCTTCTTTCCTGCCCATAGTATTGTTTTTCACTTTTTTTTTAAAGATTTATTTATTTATTAAGCATACAACATTCTGCCTCCATGTATGTCTGCACGCCAGAGGAGGGTGCCAGATCTCATTACAGATGGTTGTCAGCCACCATGTGGTTGCTGGGAATCGAACTCAGGACCTCTGGAAGAGCAGAGTGGCTCTTAACCAATGAGCCATCTCTCCAGCCCCCTTGTTTTTCACTTTTATGCATTTACTTGGTAAAAGTACTGTCCCAGGTGCCATGGGACTTGAAAGTATTTGATTTAAATAATAGAACTACTGTTTGAAGCTCCTACTCTGAAGATGCTATACCACTTCCATTCACTATATTTAACTTTAGTCCCATTTTCTCTAGAAAGGATCAAACGAGAACACATTGTACAGATAGTCACTGTCTCCTCCCTACTGTTCTACTTGCCTCTGGTTAGTGATTGACATTGGCTTGAGTGGTGGGCAATCATTTTCATAGATTATAAACATACAGAGGCAGAGCTTGAATGCACAAAAGTAATGTTTCTGATACTATGCAATTATAATAGTTGCAAGTTCAATAATGAGTTAATAAATGGAATCATAAGCCAATGGTGAAAGGTCCACATTTGGAAAAGAATAGGTGAAGCTAAGATAATTTGACAGTATAAACTGATGAAAATCCTACCATGTCATGCAACATATGTTAACATTATGTATACAGGAATGATTTTTTTAAGTAGTATATAGTTTGCGGATAGTGTAGCTTTTGACACTAACCAGCCCAAAACCTTGATGCCATGTTATTTGAGAACTGTGGAGATACTAAAATATGCATTTTAAAAACCTACCTGTTTAGGGGGAAAGAGAAACCTTTGAATTTGGGTGGGAAATCTTTTTTAAAAATAGTGGTGAGCTTCAACTGCAAGAAAGGGAGAGTTTGGAAAAGAGAGACTTCCTAGTCACTGAGAGATGGACACAGAATTTGCTCTCCATTGAGAAACTAGAAGAGTACAAAGCTGAGTACAAAATGATCCAAAAGCATTGCAGAAATACTACCTGTGAATAATGTATGTGTAACAAAATCTCTGAAACACGAGGAGAGACAGTCTCTGTGGTAACATGTCCAAACTGATCAAGGCCTAGAGGTATACTTATCTGTGGCATTTTGTCCCTGTGAAATCCCTAGTTCACTTAGACTAAGCTTTTATAAGATGAATGCAAGGAAACTGATTTGATTAGCATTCTAAAGATTGAGAATTTGAAATCTAAATTGAGTTTAATTATAGAAGAAGGAGCTTATCCATCTTGCATATTTCAGTTGTAGATTGAAATTTAAAGCATGGTATCTCTCTCTTCACAGTGTTAGTGGCCCTACTACCCTGGAAGTTGCCAGATGATCAGAGGTACCATAAATCTCTACCATCTCTCTCCATCATCATCATCATCATCATCATCATCATCATCATCATCATCATCATTATCATCACCTCTAATTCAAAAAAGGACAAGAGAAATTCAAGTAGCTACCTAATAGTACTAGTATTTCATGTCAAAATAGAAAGAGGTTCTAACACAAGGATGTGGATATGCCTTTTGATCATTTCCAAAAAGAGTGTTTTCATTTACTGAATCCAGGACCCAGCACTGCCACGTGGAAACCTCTCCTAGCTGATCTTTGAGATTAGATATGGTCCCATAAGACTTTCTTATAAGAAGAACTCTATGGGGGTAAATTATGCAGTGGATCTTTGCTTGGTATTATAACAGGAAAATATGCATGTTATCATTTGAATAGGATATGGGGTTTTAGAAAATGAAGAATTTGAGGGGTATGTGTAAAGCAAAGCTAAAAGGTAAAAGAGGAGAGATCTTGTACAAACCCTTGGGCAATCTCAATTGGTATTGCTTATTTACGAGTCCAGGAATAATCTGAGACATTTTGAATATATTTTGTAATGTTTCTGTTCTTAAGGCCTGTTTGTACTCTGGATTCCCCTGTAGAAAAAAAAGAGCAATTCACTTCCTGAAAGTGTCCCCATGATGATAATCTACATACCCCCTATATAACTGCATACATGGCAGGCATTGCACCCTCCAGTGGACTGACTGAGTAAAAAAGTGTCCTGTAATTTGAATGCTAAATTAACTAACCTTTTTTTGAAAATTGTAAGAATTTATCTAATAATGCCAAACTTGGCTATATTTATGACAATTTCCTCTTCACAGACACATCAAGCTTTTTTTTTCTTTTTTCAGTTGTTTGAGGTAGAGTTTCTCTCTGTAGCTTTGGAACATGTCCTGGAACTTGCTCTGTATACCAGGTTAGCCTTGAAGGCACAGAGATCTGCCTGCTTCTGCCTCAAGTGCTGGAATTAACGGTGTGTACCATTTTTTTAAATACTATCATACAGATTGAAGAGCTTAAAAAAGTAGAAGGGAAAAAAAGACAATCAAAGGCAATAAATTGGGTTTCATACTACAACTGAAGATGGCTTCTCTAATTATTTCAACTGTTTGGCACAGTAATTTAAATTCCTGTACAATAGTAACATCTAGGACACAAAGAAGCTGTCCTTTTAACTCTCTTCAACTGGTAGGTAATAAAAGTGCTGTTAGTCATCTTGTTAAGCCCAAATATCTATTCTTTCACTGCTCTCTCCCATGTGTAGAATATATCTTAGCTACGGCTTTCACATACTATAGCAGTTCTATGGCCTCCTGGAAATACATAGTTTCCTTAAACATGCATGCCTCCTAACATACAAATCCATAATGACACTTTGGAACGATCTCATATTAATATGGCAGAAATTTACACAGACTGAATCTGTCAGAGTAAATGATTTCAAGTTATCTCTGATGGCTATGCTTTCCATCAAGGTTTCTATTTGTGTAAAAGATTTCTATTTGATATAATTAATATTGTTTGCTTTCTGTTCAGAAAAGTGAAATATGACAAACTCTAGAACACAGATTTTGCCATGAAAATTCTACCCCAGAAGCTGATAACAAGCATCATAACTACTATTATCTTGGCAATGACTCCGGAAATGTATTCATGGATGTTGGGTATCACAATATTTAGGATAAGAAATACTTAATTGTAACAATGATTATTTACTTTTATAAATCAGCATATAATTACATGTACAGATTGCAGAATTTATACCTAATGAGGAAAGATGCTATATACACATACAATAAAAATGAGATGCCTCACTAAGTGAACATCAAATAAAAACACAGTCACAGAAGAGACTAAGAAAAATAAAGCAGAAATATTAAAATGCACTCAGATGAATTGAAGACAGAAACATGTCTGGAAAGCAGAAAACAATAGAATATAAAAGTAGTAAGATAAGTCCATCTGTAGAATGTTACATCATAATTGTGATCAGATTTAGAGAAAATAAAATTAGTTAAAATGAAGTTAAATTTACCAAAGCAAAAATGCAATAAAACTTCCAAGATATGAATGATATGTTTCTAAAATAAAAAAAGTTTGCTGATATAAATATACCATGAGTGTGAACAGACACTTAGGCAAGGATTTCATTACAAAATTCTAGATGTGTGGGCTGAACTAAAAGCCCAAAGTGTCAATAGTAAAACGAATGAGTAAACAAAAATTTAACCAACCAACAAAAGCCAGCAGAAGTCTCAGAATCACAGACACAGTTCTTTTATAGAATGGAAACACTGAGCTATTTGAAGCTGAAAAGATGGGGGAAATCATTCAGATTCATAAAGAAACCAATCTTCTGCTTGCAATTTTATGCCTAGGCAAACTCAATCAATACAACTGGAAAAGGAAGAAGAAAGACAAGTTCATAAGTGTTGACTGCCAAAACCACACGTGTAAGCCTTTTCTCAGATGGCTACTAACACCTTTCTCTTTCAAAGGAGAGACAGGGACATGTGAGCTGGAGTATTTGACTTCAACAGAGGAAGAGGAAATGGAATTCTCAGACTGGTGGGGAAGGAAATCAACTGTGATCAGCATTTCTGTATTCCACAGTGATGATAACAAAAAGCTTTGAGAGAACCTTCAAATGCACAGTTTAGTAGAGGAGGGGGAAATAAGTTGTGTGTTTGGGGGAGAAGTTTGTGGATGTGTGTACAACGTGTACTATATAAATATTATCTATCTATCTATCTATCATCTATCTATCTATCATCTATCTATCTATCATCTATATATCTATATATCTATATGTATATATCTATCATCTATATAGATTATCTATATAATCTATATAGATGAAAGATACCTTTCATCTACCTATATAGTATCTTTATATATAATAAATATATAGATAGGTAGATTAGCATTGATATACTATTCAGCATCTATATATTTATATAAAGCCTCTATATAGCACTTATACACATAGATGATAGATAGATAGATAGATAGATAGATAGATAGATAGATAGATAGATAGATGATAGATATCATACAAAAGGGAAATTATGACTTTACATAGAATCCGTTAGATTAGAAATGAAAAAGACGTTTAAAATTCTTGTATATAAATTTCCTTTTATAGAACATGAAAATCACATATGGTAAGATGGTCTGTTTAAGGTAAAGGACAAGTAAAAATAAGAGTCCATTTTTATTGTTCATCTCTTTTATCTCCCTGTCTAGGAATATTTCTCCATGTTACTGACTTGGCCACAGAGCTCCGATGCACACTGCAGAGTCAGCAGAGGATCCAAGGAAGATCATTCTTGGTACTCATGCCCATACTAATGTTTTATGACCACTTTTAAGTTGCCAGCCTCTGCGCTTTCCTCTCATCTCAAGGATCCCCATGGTTCTCTAGACTGGAAGCAGATACTCTCACTATGGAGACTCCTATAATATGTCATGTGGGCTTGCCAACATGCCATCCAATCACAGTGGTAACCATGCTCTGCCACTGCATATTACAATTGTAAGTATTTGTATGTTCCTATATGTCTATTTTCCTCATCAAAAGCAGCAGCTTTGGGGAAAGATGTGGCACCCAGCAGCAGACAAAATTCCAGTCAATAAACAAAGCAATGAGCAAACCTCACTATCACTCACACTCAGGGCTAAGCAGGAAGAAAGATGCCTCAAAGTCAGCACACACGGAGCTGGGGTGGAGGGCTAAGGAAAAACTAAGAAAAGATACACACAGTAATAACAGGAAGCATTGTAACAGGCTTGTCCTAGAAATGTACCTGCTGCTGTTCTATTTTTCTTATGTGCCATTATGCACTCAGTGATTAAAACCACCTGCTGCTAGGAAGCCCACGTTATAGATGAAAAACCTGGGCCATGATTGGGTGCCGCAGGATGTAGGCTCTTGGTTTCCTGGGCAGGCCTAGTGTCTTGAACTTTCTGATGCCACCTACAATATTCTTAATGTCTGCTACCCAGTTCCATCTAGAGCCTGTGTTATGAGGACAGGAAGTCTGGTTCATGAATCTTAGTGACACCCACATGGACCAGTTAGCAGAGAAGGGTAACCCAGCACTTCTGTATGAACTGACTCTTGAGAACACGAGAAGTACCAGGAACTCTGCTGTGATTGCCCCTACACAGACTATCGGGAATTTTGGTGAACATAGCAGTTCCGCATTACTTAACCATCTAGCAACACTGGGAGACAGCTAAGAAAACCTAAAGAGGTATGCAAAGCATCATATTCAACTGGGTGGGAACGATGGGGATGCTTGTAATCACAGAAATTGGGAGAGTAGACAAGGAAATCTCAAATTCTAGATTAGCCTGTGCTATATGACAAGGCTTTGCCTCAAAAACAGATAATTAAACCATCAAACACACAAATACATTTTATTTTTATAGGTAAAAGTTTCCAAATTAATATTTAAACCTTTTTCCCAAATTAAAGTATAGTGATATTCACAATTAAATTTATTATTTTGTGCAATCAGTACATGCTAATATAAAAAAGAAATATGTGTACTTAAAACATTATAAAATAGTTACATAATTGTGCAAATTTGTGTCCCTTACTTATGGTTTAGCTTTAGAAATGAGAATATGTATATTTTTTTCTTTTTAAAACAGTGGTAGGTGAGGTAGATTCTAGAAATTCCAAGAAAGAAAATGTTTAATATAAAATGATTTTGCTATAATATTGCATGTGATTCTTAACAATTTCTTATATTTTCTTGCATGTGAAAGTTGAGGAAAGCCAAGTGGATCCCACAATGGCTTTCTCAGGGAGGCTAAACAATTGCTTGGCTTGAAATCTTCAGTTTGCACAATTCTGATGGGGTGGGATTTATGCCTTATTGGATTTATGCCTCTATTTGGTGTGCTTTTCTGTGTCAGTTTCTCACAGCCTTACCCTACTATTACTATACATTATCATCTGCCCTTTACCAATCTGGTGAGAGTCAAAAATTAAATTGCTGTCTGTTCAACCCTCTGGTAGGAGATATATTAGCCCTTTCCCCTCTCTCTTCACATGTGTGTGTGTGCGCGCGTGTGTGTATATGTGTGTGAATTAGTATGACTTTCCTAATCTTAGTTATTAGTTTCTTCTGTTCCATTATTCAATGATGATGCTAAATTCATCCCCATAGTCCCAGAAGACTATTTCCAAACGTTTAACTAATTTTTTTGCCTTGACCAGATGGCCTCAGGTTCCCATGACTATATCGGAGTCCTTTTGATTGCCCTATTTTTCTCTCCCAGTATTTAATTTAAGGGTCAGATCTCATGTAACACATTTTCCAGTAAGATAAAGCACTCAAGTTGACGGCTGTTTGGGTACTATACTCATGGCATATGCTCTGTGTCTCATTACAACCCACAGTTATTAGATTTAATACATGTTTTTATAAACTCTATAACAAAAGCAGTCAGGATTTCTGTGGGTTGTTCATTACTCCATCAAAGCAGCCAATCAAAGGGCAGAGCCCTGCAGGACTTAGTGGAGAGAGAATCTTCTGAGCCCTGAAGGTTACTGACTGAGACCCTGTTTCCCTTTGGAAAGGTAGTCATAGAAAAGATCAACAGAACATTTTTAATGAAACCAATAAAGTGTAAAGAAGAACTAATGCTTTCAAAAATCAAAAATGACAACAGAATGTAGTATCGAGGAAGTCAGTCCTTCCAGAGGGTACTCTTGGCTTCAGTTAAGAGGACTCAGGAGGCAGAGTCAGGTGGATCACTGTGAATTAGAGGGCAGCTTGGTCTACAAGAGCTAGTTTCAGGACCGGCTCCAAAGCTACAGAGAAACCCTGTCTCGAAAAAACAAGAAAAAAAAAGGACATATATATATTCATATAAATAAAAGTCATATTATTGGTAGGCAATAAATAAGCATTTATCGATGGAACAAAAACATCAAAAGACATGTAAAAATAAGAAATACAAAACCTCTTTTTATTTGAATACCTGTGTGTATACATGTATGTATTCACATGTAACACAATGCACTCACTTATGGACATAGATATATATGCTTATGCTCATACACATGTGTGTGTGCGCACACACACACCCTATACACCAGCATCTACAATTAGTGATTTCAGAATTAACTGCAAGAAAATTTGTCTTACTTTCCCAAGTTACTTCCCTTTACAAAAAATTTAAATCAATCCTAAACAGAGAAGAGGCAAGTTAAATTCCTTCTTTAAGAAGAAAACCTATTTCTTTGACTCATTAATAAAAGAAAAAGAAGGATTGGGAGGAGGAGGAGGAGGAAGAGGAGGAAGAGAAGGAGAAGGAGAAGGAGAAGGAGAAGGAGAAGGAGAAGGAGAAGGAGAAGGAGAAGAAGAAGAAGAAGAAGAAGAAGAAGAAGAAGAAGAAGAAGAAGAAGAAGAAGAAGAAGAAGAAGAAGAAGAAGAAGAAGAAGAAGAAGAAGAAGAAGAAGAAGAAGACCTAGACAGGTAGAAACTTAGGGCCTATTTTCTCAACTTTATGTAAAGTGACCCTGGAGAAAATTAAGTTAAACAAAATTACATCTTTCTTCATAAGGACTTCCAAATCAATGAGAAATTGACATATGAATTAGATATTATAATCAGGAGCATTTTTGTGAGAAGAACTGTAACAAAGATTAAGACATGCAAACATCTAAAAAACAGGATCTGATCTCTGCAACATTAAAAAACGGGGACTGATTTGATATAAATCTTGATACATGAAAAAGATTAAGATAATTAAGATTAATCTCACACAAGACAAATAATGTGTGAGAAACAGGCGTGAATGCAAGAAGGATGTGAGAAAATGGAGCAGGAATGGTCAGTGTGCCCAGGAGACATGGCTGGAGCTCAGATTGATGCTGCTCAGCTGCTGGCTTGGAACTGCAGCAGTTACAGGACAGTCCTGAGCATTCATTCTCATTTGAGCCCCAATATTCCTTTTCCAGTTACTCACTTCATTTCCGGATGAGGAAACCTAGGAGCTGACTTGTTACACAAAGTGTCCTAGAGTCCCAGAGGGCCAGAGTCAAGATTCTCAACCCACCCTGTGGCTGTGTGACTCACAGATGCTGCAGCACACGGGGTGAACTGCCAGATGGGAACTGGCTGTGAGCTTCTCATTGTCCGCACACCCCATCCCTTAGACTGCTTCTCCATGCATCATGCGTTCTCCTTCATCATTTCCGTCTGCAGCCTCTCTGCCATTCTTCAAATTGTCAAGTCCCAGCATTATCGCACAACCCCTATTATATGCCTTATATTATTATATGTCTTAGCTGTAGCAGATACAGTACTGAATTCAACACTCAAGAGGACTTCTGTGACCTCATCTACCACATGTCCATCTCCTCTTAAGGACTGAGAGTTTTTGTCCCTATTCCAAACCAGATTTGTAAAGTGAAATGAATCTACAATGTGATGCCATTTAAAAGGCTGTCTTCAGGAGTTTAAACCTGAATGGGATTTGTGTCTTACAAAAGACACCCTCATCAGACATGGACATTGCTGTGCTTTGATTTTGGACTTCCCAGTTTTAGGAGCCTTAAGAAATAAATTTCTATCATAATAAACCTTATGTATGGCACTTGTACTACAGCTTGTTTGAAATAAGGCATCTTGTAAAAATATTTTATTGATAATGAGTAATAGAGTGTTTTTCTGCTTTTCTTTTGTATTTGATGGACTCAAAGTTTTGCCTACCATTGATGTCTTTTAGGTTAGCTATATTTCCCATGATGTCTCTTGCTTTTATGCCTTCCTAGATGCTCCCTTCAATGCCCAAGCCTCAGAGCTGGGTTTCTTCCCGAGCCTGACATGGGTTTTGGAACATACAGGCCTCACTCCCCTTGCCCTGGCTGCTGTTTTAAATGATTTAGCAGAACTGAAATATCAGGAAAGAAATATGCAGAGAAGCAAAAGTTAAAACTTAAGAGTGGAATTGTGCTTTCTTGAGGCTGAAATCCCCTTCCTGTTGTTGACTTTCTTAATAATGGATGTTTCCACTTGGTACCTCTCTGTGCCTGTCTTGCACTGAAGGAAGCTTTCTTAATCATAACAAGCATTTAAGTTACATGAATGACTACTTCCTTCTATGACTTTTGCTTTACAAGCATAAAGGGGCACGGATATAGCAATGGTGAGAGTTCACACTGTTAATAGACCATGCCAGATTATGCATGGCATATTTAAATAGGAAGAAGCCCAAGCATCAATGTTTTAGACATATTATCTGCTTCTAATAGCAAATTTTAACTGTTTTGGAGTACCTCATTTAAGAATATATACCGTTCTCTTTAGATTATAACTTTTCATTTGCTTTCTCTTTTTTACAAATTTACTGAAAAAGAAAACAACTGCACATATTATGGATAACATTACTATCTAATATCTTAAGTTCATTCACTCCAATGATGTGTATTGTAATCTTTCAAGTCTTCCAAAAGTTACTGGAAGACACTGTACTGAGCCACAATGCTATGAATTGTATGTACTGGAGTATCACTTCTTGCCAAAGTATTCACAAAATAAAGGATTGAAAAAAAAAAAGAATATATACCGTTTACACCTTATCAGCCTTCTGTTATTCACTTTGAAAATCATTTTATGTACATTAAATTATCTATTTGAAGCAATATGATTCCCACTATTGGTCCTTCTTTTGCTTTTCTCATCCTCCAATTACTTGTCAACTGTCATTTACCCTTCTATCATCAAGCAGGCGTCTAAGAATCTACTTCTAGGTCACTGCCTGTAATTCTTGTGGGAAGAACTGCTAGAAAACAAGCGTGTTAATGAAATCACGATGCTGGAGTTAGAGCCAGGGGAGTAAAATCTGTAGGCACAGTGTGCAGGCTTTGACATGGCCTGTTTAGAAACGTAAAGGTTCTTTGTGACATTTTCTTCCTGTGTATTTTAGTTTTGAGAGGCTGAAGTCTGATGAAACCTTGAAGAGATATATTAGAATATATACATTTTGTAAAGTCGTCAGTGAGGGGGGTCATTTTAATAATTCCATAAGAAAGATATAATTATTTTAAATCACTTTTAGGTATGGATGGATGGTCATGTGTAGATGAACATGTCAGTGCAGGGCATGTATGTGGATGCACCAAAAAATAGCAGAGGACAATTTTGGATGTCATTCCTCAAGCATCATCCACCTTGTGCATTGGGGGGGAGGGTAATTGTTTGTTATAATGTTTGCATTGTTTTGTTTGACAGAATCTTTTACTGTCAGACTAAGTAGGCTGGGTTAACTTGATTGCAGACTCCAGGGATCTGCTTGATTCCACCTTCTCAGTACCTGGGTTACAAATGCTTTCAACCATATCTGGCTTTTGCTTTTTAAATATAGCTTCTGGGGACTGAACTTTGGTCCTCAAGCTTGCAAGGCAAACGATTCCTAACCAAGGTTTCACTCCAGCCTTATTTTGAATCTTAGTCATAAAATCTAATTACATAGAAATCAGAATTGCCCATAAAGTAGGTAGGCACCAAAATGATTTAATGGTCAGATAAGTATAGATTTGATATTTCTTTGAAGAAGTGAAAGAAACGGCCTAGAACAGGAACTCCATGCTAGGCAAAGAGGGACAAAGCCAGGTGAGGGTAAGGAGGTCACACCCGGGGTGGCTAATGACTTAGGTGGTTTTGGGTCTAAGCAGTCAGAAATACAATGGTGTCTTTTCAGACAAAGGGAATCTTAGATTGAAGGCACACTGCGCCTTCAATGCACTGACTTCCCTTACCTTCACAGAGTCTCAGAATGACTTTGGGAATTTTACCGGCTTTTAATTTAGATCGAGGAAAGCAGGCATTCTCACAGAGCCCCAGCCTCTTTGAAGTCACTCTTTAGGAGGTTTTGTGAAAAATGTGGCCAGTTTCGTATACACACAGGTTGGAGAGGGGGTCCATTTTACTTTCCTGCAGTCGGACTTTTTTAAATAACCTTGTTCTCTCTTTCAGTTCTCCTCAGGATGATTTTTTTTCTCTGCTGGCTCCCTCATTCTTCATTATTTTAATGGCTACATCTTCGCTCTGATGTGTCAATGGAAGTGGAAAATCCAGTGAAGCCAGAGCTTAGAGGAACGCCAGCTGGAACAGAAGGATAAAGTTTCCTTGGAGAAGCTTCAAAGGGATGCGGGCCGGGTAAGCTGGGGACAATGGTGCCCAGGCCTCAGCACAGACAAAGCCTTGCCAGCTGGCCCAGCCTGCTCTTAACAAGACGTGGAGGGACTGGACCCCCTTCGCTGTGTCTGTGGTAAGAGTTTGGCTCTTTATGCACCCACATGCATGCTACATTCTTAAATTTCACAACAAATGGTTTTCTCATGAAATGAGGGACCAAAATGGGATTCCTACCAGAAGCAGTATGAGCTAATTTTGCTCCAAAGCCAGGGCTTCATGAATGCAGACAAGCCTGTCCCCTCCCATCTCTCTAGTTTTGTGATACAGTTTTACGTTTCTTTTTTTTACGGGAGAATTATCGGAACAACAGCCATCGGTGAGATCGCCTGAGGCAGATTTATGAATCCTCATTGGTTTTAACTGGTCAGGAGGCATCCGTCTTTAATTTGATTTTCTTTCTTTCTTTTTTCTTTTCTTTTCTTTTTTTTTTGTGTGTGTGTGAGTTAAGCAGGAAAACTGATTTAGAATTGGCTATAAATCTAGATAGCTTAAATGGCATGTCTGGTTGTCAGCCACATTGGGTCTCTGCTTCTGTAGGTGTTGTTGCTTGAGTGGTATCAAGGATAATCAGATGCAGCCTGTGTCTAGCAGGGATTTGAGGAAGGGACAAGGCATTGCCTTTACCTAGTTCATTCATATGTATGATGCGCTTTGGACAAACCTTCTCTCTCACCCCTGTGCTTTGCTAAGGGGTGCATTTGATTAATCATGCTGACTGGCTCATTTTATGAAGCTAACTTTCAGAATTCTTAAAACTGTTTTTTTTTTGGTATTGTTATTCTTGCTAATACCCTTTCAAACTGAATCTTGGGAAAGCTGAGGTATTTAAAATCCAAAACAAGTAAGAAAAAAAAAAGGTAAGTTTCATGTATTTCTGTTCATTATGAGAAATGATACATAAGGATTTATAAATGTTTCACATCCCAAACAGCAGCTACTGAGTGAAAAACCGAGATAACTGTGTTCCATTTCACCATAGTCTGGTAAAATAAAATGGGGATTTTTTTTTCAAGTCCCTTGCATAAGCCTCATGCAAACCAGTCATTTATTATATGTGGGCCATGTGCTATGTCCTGGGGAAGAAAGTCACCGAGGTCATTGTCCTACCTTCAAGAGTTGTTCCCGTGGACAGTTTGGGCAGAATTCTGCATGAAAAAAAAATCTCACTGTTCTCAGTCAAAATATAATAATGCTGTAAGTGTCATAGAATCCAGACTGGTTGGAAAGTAAATTAAAAACAGAAACATGTTTTATACAGCTTTCAGTCCAGACTTCCTCAAGGAGATTAAATTTGAGTTGTGTTAGTATAAAGAAAGGTAAGGGTATTCTAACAAATTTCTTTAACAAATTCTAAGGAAAAGAAGTCATATGGCAAGTGAGAAGGAAGACTGAACATAAGTAAATAAAGTGCAATATACTGCTTAAAGTAATTTGAGAAGGCTAAGGGTATCTGGGAGACAGTCCCCGATGGCTTTTATTATGTAGAGTATGGGGAATAGGAACACTCTGAGTCGAGGGTGATCAGATCAAGCACTGCATGCTGGGGGACCCAGTCCTACTCTGCTGTCCCCGGCAGTCACTGCGCCCTACACTGCTTAGGCTATTTTCATCTCTAGGGTGTACCTCAACAATAGAAGTCATTGAAAAGAAACTACCCCTCCCAGGAGAGGGTAGGGAATGTGTTCATATCCTAGCATATCCAAGTGTTTCAGTCAGTTACATCTATTGCTGTGACAAGACACCCACAAAAACCAGTGAAGGGCAAGATGATTATTGTCGAGCATGTTTTTAGAGGCTTCAGTTCATCCTGTAGTAGAGGCCATGGTGAGACCAAGCTGCTTAGTTCATAATGGCCAGGAAGCAGAGAGGGATTGGAGCTGGACTTCTGCCTTTGCCATTTTATTGTGTTCAGTTATGAAGTCTATAGCATTGCCGTGGCTATATTAAATGTACATTGTCCATTTTAGCTCATTCATTTCAGGAAATAACCCAGAAAAGGAAATGTGCTTTGTTAATCTAGGGTACTCTTAGTACCATCATGTTGGCAATCAAAATTAACCCTCACTATGCCTCTATCCTTTCACTGGTGTTCTACAGCCACTTTATATCATATACCCTCTCCTCCCTAGAACAGGGACCTATAGTTGCTTTGTGGGTAGCCACAGCTTCTTACTTTCGTTATTTTAGTTATATATTTATATATATATATGCAGCTATATATACATATATATATATAGCTGCATATATATATATATCCTCCATTTATCTCTTACAAGAGCTTTCATCAATCTCTTTTGAAACCCCTTGAGCCTAGAATATTACTCATTGCCGGAACATGGGAGAGAAAGTGAACTTTAGAGACAGAATTTGATTAGGAGAGAGGTTTCATAGTTCAAGTGATAGAGATTATGGCAGGAAGACACCAGACATATTCTACAAGGATCTGGAATATTAAAATGCGTGACTGATTAGATTGGGCTCTCAAAGAACCATCAATGAGAGGTCACATTTAAGAGGAACATGCAGAAAACCAAGAAAATGCTGCCAAAGGTCAAAGGTCAATGATAAGAATATTATGAGATGGGAAACCGACATATTGAGTCAATTGACAGGTCTAAGAAAATGACAATTTGAGCCCGATTTGGGCTGCTCCGGAATCACAGAGTTCTAAGTTGGATAGCACTGTCTCCAGATAGAGTCAGGTATAGGGCTGTGGCAGTTATTTAATTTCTTTGGGTACTTTAATGCCTAGCCTGTATTTTTTATCACACAGAGAGGGAAGCCTGGGCACACAAGTGGGCAGAGACAAGACATCGCTCAACTCCTTAATAAGTGCTGTTCTTTCATTTAAAATCCATGGCCCAGAACTAGGAGACCAAGACCTCATGAAGACACCATGGTGTCATTACTCTGAATATCCATGCTTCTCTACTGACAATGCTGAGTGCTATTCATGACAGAAGGGGCATGGCAGTAATTGTTTCACACCTTCATGCCATCATCTTGAGAGTGACTGGTTGGGGGCTTTCACCATATTCTGTGAGATGGACCCTTTTCTGCGTGAAGGTGTGACTATCATTTGGCAATCTATCTAGGACGCTTGGTCTGGTAAAGGATGAAAACCTGGACAGATAATAGAAAGGTAAACAGTTTGGCATGGCAATGGATAATCCTTCCTCTAACCCTGTCTGAGTAACTTATGTAGCCAACAGTTAATATTTAAATCATTAGAACATTGACTTAGTTTTCCTTTCCCTACCCATCACCCTGAAGAAGCAGCACAGAGAAAAATAGCAATGTCTAGGAGACATGTAGTCATAACAGCTCTTTTTACCCATTTCTGTTGCCTCAGTGGAAAAGCCCTTGTACAAGTCTCTGGTTCACTAGATTGATGCCAAAAATGTGCTTTGTTTCACACTTGAGAGAATCCTCTTGAGGTCACAACTACCTGAGAAAATTTCTCTTCATGTTTTCTTCCTGTAAATTCTTAACAACAACAGTAGTGGCCATATCCCTATGGCCAAAGGAACCATGAGAAACAATGCCTGTCTCTCTCACCATATTCATACCCAGTGGACCATGTAAGCCTTTATAGCATTTCCTACTATGAAATGAATGATCAAAACACCTTACCCATGTAAAGCTGTGTCCCAAACCCCTGGACTTAACATAAGTCTCTGTTGCTATTTGCTTGTTTTGTTCTCCCTAACTTCTGTCGTTTACTTCTCCCTGAGATCCTGAGCTGAACTCACCTACAGCATAACTTTTCCACTTCCCCCATTGTCTAAAAGGCAAATATGAATTATCAGCATCGACTTTTGTGTCACTTCCTTGGTGGTAGTTGGTACCGTTTATATGATTACTACATGTTGAGAGGCCCATGCTGCAGTCAAACATGTGACCTAGAAACAGGAGGCCAGCAAGACCTGTGCCTCTGCTGTGAGAAAAAAAACCCTTAATTTCCATGCATTGGGACCAATACTGGTGAACTTCGTTGGTGAAATTTCTGGGGATTGGACAGCCCCCTGTCTCAGAGGAGTGAGCTAAGGACCACCACAAGCCTCTAATATCCTTGGCTGCTTCTTGCTGAGAAGCATTTATCTAAAGTCATTTTTGTAATTACTAGAATTAAAACTGATGGCATTTTGGTCCCAGTTTCCAGCCTTTATTTCTGAGTTACTTTTAATAACATAGGTATTATGGTCCCCCAAGCCGGATGGAGTCTCATTCCTTCCTCACTGGGAGATGGCCTCCTGACGTTCTCAGGGGGCTCTGTAAATCTATATTCATAAGCTTCCTTAAAATGCTAAAGGAAACATAACACCTCTTACCTGGGAATTCCATTTTCACATTTTCTCATCTCCATTGAGAGACTCCACATGCAGATACTTGGGGAAGGAGCCATAATTTACCTATACAAAGACACAGGTAAAAGGATGCTTTCCAGGATGAGACTCTCAAGAGTGTGGTTTTGTTGTTCCTCTTTTATTTTATCATCCAGACCAAAGTTTCCCCCGCCTTCTCTCCTCACAGTGCCTCCCCACCACTTCCCCTATGCCCCCATCCACTCCTCCTCCATTTCTATTCAGAAAAGGGCACCCTCTCAAGGATATCAGAAAACAAAGCATAGAAAGTTGCATCTCCCTTTCTACTAAGGCTGCAGAAGGCAACCCAGTATTGGAATAGGGTCCCAAAAGGAAGCCACAGAGTCAGGGACAGCCCCTTCTCTCACTGTTAGGAGTACAAAAAAGAAGTGAAGTTACACAACTGTGATGTGTGCCGATGGCTTAGGTCAGCCCTATGCAGGCTCCTTGATTATCAGATTTGTCACTGTGAGCTCCTATGAGCCTAGGTTTGTTGACTCTGGACTTTCTTGTGATATTCTTGACGCCTCTAGCTCTTACAATCCTTCCTGCGTCTATTCAGAAGGATTCCCTGAACTTGGCCTAATGTTTGACTGTGGGTCTCTGCATCTGTTTCTGGATGAAACCTCTCTTATGATAACTGAGCTAGGGACTACATACTAATCTATTAGATTAATAAAATATCGTTATGCATCATTACGTTGAAATT